TCTAAACATGTATTAGTATCACCCATTCACTAACCTCTTTAATCTAGCACACGTGCTGCAAGACATAGCACAGGGAGACAGAGAAAATGAGCCGGCGTGGGCCAGAGTTAAAAAAAGGGGCCCTATAAGGACCTCCCTTTTAATCGGGGAACAGTTGAGGTTGGGAAGTGTGTTTATTTACACAGCAAAGATCGGCATGCGGGACTCGCTGTCATACTCATCTGCTGTTTTCATCGAGGGGTGCCTCCCCAGATGGACGATGCTCCTGGGTCACCTGAGCTACCCCTTCCCGTCAGCGCAGCCCTGAAGGCGAAGGCCGGGTCTCCCTTAAAAGGGAGAAATTGTCCACGCCGGGAGCACAGGCTTCACATGTGAGCAGCGACGAGCTGACGTCACGATTTTGCTTCTCATGTGAAATGAGTCAGATCCAGGAAACACAGTCGGATCGAAGCAGGATAGAAGCTTAACAATCAGAGGTCAGGCCTTGCAAAGGGACTGCCCACACCTGTCCACTTTTGACGTTTTCTGTAAACCCACCTGTGTTTGCTTAGAGTCACTGAAAATGAGCACGGAACACCCACGCCAGCCGCGGTCTCCTTCCCACAGAAATGGACATGAGGAACAAACATGAGAAGTGAAGTTGTCATGCCTGGTTCTCTTTCATGTCCCAGCGTGCCCTCATTTTTTTAACAAGCCAACAGGTCACTCCACACATCCGAGGGCCCAGAGGCCGTGGGCACCATGCAGCTGAGTCACATGTCTCTTTGTGACCTGCACAGGTATCTCAAAACGCTCACAGTAAGGGGACCCTTACATGACACTAGTGCATGTTTGTGACCCGTTAGTCCGCCATGACACCATTTTGTGGTTGTCGGTCTTTGCTTATTTACTATTGATGTGTGTGTGTGTGTGTGTGTGTGTGTGTGTGTGATGTTGCAGCTGTCTCTGTCTGCAGGCTGGCCCACCCCAACCATGGCCTCACCCCACCCTGACCAGGGCCTCAGCCCACCCCCACGTGCTGGAACTCTGACCCTAGGCTTTCCACCCCTGGAATTGTGGGGAATAAATTTCTATCCTTCAGAAAGCCACCCAGCCCAGAGTATGTGGTCAGCAGCCTGAATAGATGAAGACAATCTCTGTTGCCCAGGCTAGAGTGAGTGCCGTGGCATCAGCCTAGCTCACAGCAACCTCAAACTCCTGGGCTTGAGCCATCCTCCTGCCTCAGCCTCAGCCTCAGCCTCCCGAGTAGCTGGGACTACAGGCACACACCACCATGCCCGGCTAATTTTTGTATATATTTTTAGTTGGCCAATTAATTTGTTTAATTAATTTTTAGTAGAGATGGGGGTCTCACTCTTGTTCAAGCTGGTTTTGAACTCCTGACCTTGAGCAATCCTCCCTCCTCAGCCTCCCAAGTCTTAGGGTTACAGGCGTGAGCCACCGTGCCCGGCCTGATGAAGACAACGTCTTAACCCGCTTTCCCCGTACAAGCCACTGGCACGATGCACCTTTCATTGCTGTGCAACCATCATCGTCACCCTTCTCTAGAACTTTCTCGTCTTGCAAGACAGAAACCGTGAACCCGTTAAACAGCAGCGCTCCATTTCTTCTCTCCCGAATTCCTCTTTCCGTGTCCATGAGTTTGCCTCCCGCAGGGGCCTCAGGTGAGCCGAGCCGCACAGGACTCACCGTCGGCTGTGCCGGGCTTATTTCATGTGGCGCGATGTCCTGGGCTCGTGCACTCTGCAGCAGGTGTCAGAGGTCCCTTCCTTGGTAAGGCCGAGTAAGAGACGGATCGTTTTCAAAGACAGATCGTGGGCTCCTCTCTCTCGTCTTCCTGAGTTAGCCCAGACGGCTCCCTGCCCTGACAGTCTCGGGTGGACAAGGAGGGCGGGAAGGTGGAATAGTGCAGAGAATTTGAACAAGGGAGGCCGAGGCCACACTCGCCACGCTCTGACATGGATGGTGGAATGGTGCCAGGACACAGCAGACGTGGGGCTTGAGAACGGCCCCGTGCCCAGAGAGGGTGTCCTGCGTGTCATCTGCTCACAGCACCTGCCCGTGGTGTGCCCAGCACCAGGCCCCAAAGGCAGGGTCCTAAGCTCCCCTCGCCTGTGAGCACACTCCGTGGGGAAGGGTGGGCTGAGAAGGGGGGGAGAAGTCCAAAGTGGAGACGCTTGCTGATTCCTGCTTTGGCCCCTCAAAGAGGAGAGATGACCTCAGAAATGAGGTTTTGCCTTGGGTCAGCGGGGGCTCGAGGGCGCCACGTGAGCCTACAGCATGCTCCTGCTGCGGGTGGCGGGTTGCTCAGCGTGCCTGGGATGTCTGGCACCTGCAGGATCGGCTGAGACTGCTCTGGGGCCTCGGGCCGGGGCGAGGCATGAAGGAGCGGCTGCCTCCTTGGGGCCCACCTCGGAAGGGCCAGGAAGAGATGATGTGGTTAAGGCCCAGAATGTTCTCTTGACAGGTTTCCAAGTAGGAAAGAAAAGTACAGTCAATATAGCTGCACCGGAGTTGCACATATTCTCCGTGGAAATAATCCTCTTACGTCGAGCAAGGCCACAGGGGTTGTTTCGCTGGGGCGCGGCCCTACGGCGTCCACGGCTCCTGGAATCTGCTCCTGGGAAACTCTCTGCCCACCCGCACCCCACGGCAATCCACGAATGGCGGTGAACGGGAATTCGTGCCCACAGAACGTGGATGTGTGACCAAATTTGGTTTCCATATAGGAGCTTGGATCTTAACGTGTCTCTAATTCGTATGATTTTCTGTGCTCCGGCAGGGAGGCAAGGAGGGAAATTTAAGTAGCAATCCCGATTGTGTTTGTAGGATTAGGAAACACATAGGAGGTTCTTTGCTGCAGGACTCACACTCCACAGCAGGTGCCCTGATCTGCCCACGCCTTCTCCGGGTGCGGGTCGAGCCGATACACCTCGTGGCAAACACCAGGCAGGGCAGAGCCCCAGAAGGCTGTGACAGCTCCCGGGGACAGCACCGAGGGCTCCCACGGTCCCCCCGGCAAAGGGTGTGGTGTTTGGCACACGTCTTCTGCGTCATTGTCAAGAATAACTCGATGGCAGACGAAGAAGAGAACCAGACGCGATGTGCAAACGAAGGGAAGAAAATGGCAAAAAGAGATGAGAAAATGTTTATGAAACCCTTGCTCCCTTTACCAAAAAATTATCCCGTATTAATCATTTGCAAAGAGTGGGATACCGATGTGAAATCGGATATGCAAATCAAAGCATTAAAACATTTAGAAGATATTGAAATCCCAACTGCTTTGAGTTTGCCAAGCACGGTCTTGACTTTTAGCATGTTTCCTATTTATCGTAATGTTTGTGTTCTTTCCAAATTATCTTTCATTCAAATTTCAGCTCGGTTTTGTTTGTGTGCATTCAAAACAGTGACAAGGGAGAACATGAATTGCAGCCCGATTTCCTGGTTTTGTTTTTTTTTCAAAATATAAAATTTTTAAAACTTAGTTTTGCTTATGTATTCATTTATTTTTATGCATATATTTAATGTATACATCGTGACATTTTGATATGCATATACTCAGTGAACTGTTACTTTTCTGCACAAATCAGTCCATGACGCACTGGACATGCCAGCAGCATGCAGGGAGGCCCAGGGAAGGGCGAGGCCCCGAGTGCGGACAGGCGGGTCAGGCGGGAGACCGTCACGGCGCTGGCGTCTGCACAGCGGTCTGCTCGCCTCTGAGACGTAGACCGTGCCTTCCTTCTTGCCTGGCTCCTTCACACGGGAAATTTCCCTGCAGTGATCTCTCTAAACCAGTAAGCCAGTCTCTCTTTCCCAACATACATGCAAGTGCACACACCCCACGCACTCACACGCAGTCACACACACGTTCACATGCTCCGGCACACAGAACACCCCGTGCGGCAGAGATTAGAGAAACTACCTCATGTGGATTCTTGGGTTCAAAGTTCCTGTGCCACTCACGTGAGACACACTGAGTTCAGGGTGTGACGTGAGAGTCTGCAAGTTGTAGGACATTTCTTCAAAGCTGACCCTGCAAGTTCGTCCAGCGTCCCGGGGGTCTTTTCACGCACAACTTCCTTAACTCAGACTCCGTTGTATGCCCCCAGTGTTCATCTATGACCTTACGTGTAGTTTATCCTTTTAGGAATCAACACACTGACCTCAGCAATAAGTAACTCAGATAATATTTTCAGAGCCATGAACATCAGATAGCCAGTCGTGGCTGCGGAGCATATCATTTGAATGATTAACGATAAACAGGCACCCCCATGTCAATCCGACCCCGCCACTGCATTGTGTGCCTTGTGTTAGGGTAGAATACGCTCATCAAACACCCTAACTCAGCATTTCCAAACTGTGCTTCTTTTTTTTTTTTTTTTGAGACAGAGTCTCACTCTGTTGCCCGGGCTAGAGTGCCGTGGCATCAGCCTAGCTCACAACAACCTCCGACTCCTGGGCTCAAGCAATCCTCCTGCCTCAGCCTCCCGAGTAGCAGGGACTACAGGCATGCACCACCATGCCCAGCTGATTTTTTCCTATATATTTTTAGCTGTCCGACCAATTTCTTTCTATTTTTAGTAGAGACGGGGTCTCGCTCTTGCTCAGGCTGGTTTCAAACTCCTGACCTGGAGCGATCCTCCCGCCTGGGCCTCCCAGAGCGCTAGGATTACAGGCGTGAGCTACCGCTCCAAACTGTGCTTCTTGAAATCTTGATGACCCACAAATTATTAATAGATATTGTATTGAACAAAAAGCGAGAAGACTGATCAAAAACCGTGGCGTTGCACAATTCTTATTAGCATATGAAAGAGCCTGGAAAACCCTTCAGAAGAAAAGCCAGCTTAAATCAAGAAACCTGGTTTTGGTTTAAAGTGTACTCATCTCAGAACTCATCAGTGTTCTTTCGGGAGTTAAGACCTTTAGGCCACATTTGATAGCAACAATGCATGCGTGATACACGGGGCTTTGTGTGCAGACCCGAGTTCACGCCTTAC